TAGTACGTCATTCAGATCGAAAATACGCGAGTAAGGTAACTCCATGGAGTTTTAATTTTGAACTCACTACGTGGCCTCCTATCCTCGGGATACGCATTTATGTGCAGCGATTTGTTCATTGCATCAACAACCTTATCCACTATCAAGTCGGGTTCTGGTTCTTCAGGATCTGAAAAAATAACTATAAATGGATTCCATTTTTATAGAAGTTCATCTACATTTTTCCCTTCTTGCGATTTCCACTTCCAGATCCGTGATCTGGTTCCGGAGACGCTCGCCACCGTCCGGCAACGGAAGATCTCGTGAGAGAAGTTTCTGTGATTTTCAGGATATAGTTGCCAAGCCACATAGACTAAGTAAATTAGCCTACTTGTGCATTTCGTAACTTCTCCTGTAGACTCAATGTAGACTCTCCCTTGAATTTCGCTATAGGCTGAAAGAGTAGCTATGAGATAGTAAAGAACATATAATATGCATGTAGTTCAAAGGGATGAATAAGCAAAATTGCAAATCTGGTTGCTAAAGAGCGTAAGCTTACCTCCGTAGGAATCTCGTATACTTCCTGTGGTTCTGTAGGGATCTCGTACACTTCTTGTGGTGGAACAGGAGATCGTGCCTTGCTTGGCTCACATCTTTCTTCATCACTAGATCCTAAGGTGATGACTTCTGGGAGCACACTCAGCGGTTGTGGCTTTTCTTCTTTCGGTGATTTGTTTGCGTTCTTATCTTCGTCGCTATCCAGCACAACTACATCATCAGGCGTGGGTGAGGGGCTACTTTCAACAACGATCTCCGATGACGTGCTAGCTTTGAAATCCAAATCTTCCACATCACGATGCTGAGTACGTGAGTCGAGTTCCTTAAACAAGTCTAAGGTCATAGGCAGTGTCCCAGTATGTCGTTTTCCACTTTTTCACCTCTTCGGAGCTTTCTCGCCATGGGGAACTCATATCTAGGCTTTTCAGCGCATGAAAATGGAGAAAACGAGCTTTTTTCGAATCCATGTCCGCGTTCTCCAATAAAATGTCGGAAGTCTTCCACGCCCCGCCTCCCTCGTTTCGGACTACGCCCATTCGCACGTATTTTCCACTATGCGGATCTGGAACCCTTTGAAAAAAGCTCGTTGTCGCTATTTTGAAGCGCTAAAAAGCCCAGAGATGGGTTTAGCTCCAAAAATGTAAAAAAAATTCG